ACATTTTATACTCTATATTGATAGATACTTAATATTTATTGGAAATATTTCGGTTTGATATCTTATGCTCTAAATGTCAAATACAACAACAACACATTTTACAAAGTGAAAATTGTATTTAAGCAACCCGTATCACCAAGTATAATATATACATTTGTTAGAGCTGCATTGCATTTATATGTCCTAAAAAAATATAAAAAGAAAAAGACACTTCAGACCTTATAAAAGTCTTCTGGTTTTTACTTATAAAAATGTAAATCGAACCCTGACTATATTTTTTTTTCATGGTAATATATGATGCATATTTTTTTCAACGTTTTATAGGTTATTGGTTAAAGAAAAGTYTTAAATAATGATATTTCAGAGCTTTTAATCGTAAAATATAGTTATTTTATTTTATATAATATTGATACTATTAATACTATTATTATTTTATGTAAGTTTCACGGTACATATATTAAAATAATTATTTAAAAGCATTTCAACCGAACATWGAGTCTCATGATACAAGTCTCATTACTCGTTGGTACATTAATTTCAAAATTAATTAAAAACTATCCTTTTAGATTTTAGTCTCGTCATCATTTTGGTTGCCATGTAATCGCCGTACGCGCACCTGGCAAACTATTGGATGTTTTAGAAATGGAACTAAATTGTTATTTCTCACAACGTACCTATAGTAAGCTACGCCACCAGTAACCACGTACTTCATCCTCGAGGAAAAGAAAGCAACTTAAAATAATCGTTAGCAAGAATGGGGTTTTAAGTTGACAACTTGCCGACGTCGGGAACCACAAAGATTCATTATAGGAAAGTAATCAATTTCACAGATTACATCCARGGTTCGGTGCTTACTAAATTTCTGGAGATTTCCACGTTTTCCACRTATAAACCACAGTATAGGTCAGGGGTATGTTTAAATGGAAAGGCGGTGCTTGGGAGCTAATGCACCTATCTAGCTTTTTTATTTTTAATTATAAATTACCTACTTGCTGTTAGATATCAGTGTACACGACGAATGACTAAACGTATTACATTTGTTTACTACCGCAGAATAGGTTAAATTTGTTTTTACTCCGAAGCTGTTAGTAGTACAATAATTATTATTGAATAATATACCTAAGAGAATTATATAAACTTTTATCATTAAAAAACCACCCCTCCCCCCACAATCACAAAAAATATCCTAGATCCCCCATACTGATATAATATATAGGCACCTAACCAACGCATCGACGATGAAAGTGAATTGTAACAACAGTGCGACCTCATAAATTATCCCGACAAGTTTGTCATACCAAACTTAATCTTGTCCGGTTACCGTTAGGACGGAGTTATGGAGTACAATATTCGGCGCGACAGTATGTGATGATTCATCATCGGTACTACCTCTTCTACCTACACCACTGTGTCGGCGTTGTTTAATAATAGGTACCTATATACT